ACGATGGGAAGGTGATCACTGGGACCAAATGTTTATTTATTCGACCTTTCGTACTCTCGCGCGAGCCAATCGTCGAGGAATGAAAACCTATACAAGTCGTTACAAATTTAGCCCACTCTTACCAAGCACAGATGCCAGTTGCGTTACTGATTTGGTCGCGAAGTTCTTGGTAAACGATTGGCGGATCGATATGCCGACTAATCGACTCATCAGATGAGTGTCAGACTTCCCAAAACAAGGGCTCAACACGGTCATCCGACTGACCCGATATTCTCACGCGCTGAAAGTCAAAGCCGTGCCCTGGCGAGGAGGCGTGGGCGACTACCGAGGATAGTGTATACTTTCGCCTTACGGCCAACCCATGCTAGTGCAGTCACGTTCGAACCTGTTTGCCGGCTTCAATGACATAATTGACATGGCCACAATTGCTGTCTCTAAGGCCGATGACCACCGATTACTGATTGATGGGAATCCGGTACTTAGGATTTATGAGTGGTCGGCGGATATCTGCGTCAGGATTTTGGGCGACAACAATCGCAGATTCGTTCTTTAGTCTAGCGGATATTTGTGACAAACCAGCTATGTAAAGCTCTGCGAGCCAAAATTTCGGTTTTGAAAACTACTTCGGATTACTTTCCCGGGTTACTCGTCTGCACTTTTAGACAGAGACATTGTTTGGCCTTCCATGTGAATCTCAAAGGGTCAGCCAAAAAGACACAGGTGGAAGCAATGTAGGCATACCATTATTGCTAAGGCCTCTTTATCTAGTTGTGAATAGATGGTTTCCGACTGGGGCATGATTCTTGATGCGAAGGCAATCGGCATCGCCGCACTAAAAGGCATTCAGTGCGTGAGAACCACACCTACGCCGTACGGAGACGCATCACGTTTCCGTATGATAGGCTTTTGAGGTCATAATGAACTAGGACAGGTGAGGAGGCAAGAGCCGCCTTTGCCTGTTGAAAAGCACTTTGTTCGATCTCCGATCAGTCCCAGCAACGACTCTTCTCAAGTAGTCGATAAAGAGGCTTAAGAATTGTAGCCGATTGATTCATGAAGCGACTAAAGTAGGTGACCAACCCCAGGAATGAACGTAATTGACTGGTATTGTTGGGGCGCGGCGCCGTCTTCAAGGCTTTGAGCTTCTGTTCGAGTGGATGGATGCCAGTTTTATCCATTCTTAGGCCCACATAGTCTACCGAGTCGGCAAGGACAGTGCACTTAAATTTTCTGAATTTAAGACCTGCGTCTTCTAAACGTCCTAAGACGATATTTAGAGTCTCTAGTTGACTATGTTCAGATGGGCCGGCGACTAATAAATCGTCAAGATATGCGCGAACGTGAGGTTTATTGTTCACGAGGTTATCAATGAAGCATTAAAATAAAGCGGGAGTCGAAATTACTTCAAATGGTAGTCTTTTATATTGAAATAAACCCTGATGTGTATTGATGGTGATGGCGTCTCGGGATTCAGTCTCTAGGGCGACTTGGTTGTAAGCCTGCTTTAGGTCCAAAGTTGTAAAATGATGACCACCCGAGAGGGATGCGTACAGATCCTCGATGCGCGGGAGAGGATAAGGGTTCAGTTAAATTGTTGAGTTGATTGCCAACTTGTAGTCTCCACAGATGTCCACAGAATCATCGAATTTAAGAACAGGAACTACTGGGGCAGCCATTCCGAATACTGTACTGGCTCAATAATATCCGTTTTCCTTAGGTAATCCAGCTCTTCTTCGACCTTCGATGCGACAACATAGAGGACTGTACGAGCTTTGCAGAACCGAAGCCGGAACTCTGAATGAAACTTGAACTTTTCTATTATTTTTCCAGTATTTAAGTCTGCCTGTCGTTCTGAAGTTCAGAACAGTCGAGGTGCCCATAAAACGCCTTCTCTCGCTAAAACATTTTAAAAAATTTTCGTCGTAAAAATTACCGACTTTTGCATAGTCAATCAAGTTATTAGCCCTTCCCAGCATGGTTTTTACCAGATCGCTCTTGTGAAACATGTCATTTGCCGTTTCTCAATCTACTTATCGCTCTTCGCAATGACCATCTATCTGTTGTCGTTATTTATTTTGATCTTAGTAATGCCTTTGATAAAGTGCCACATAAAAGACTCTTAGTTAAATAAGAAGCTATCGGAATTCGCAGTCCATTAATCGACTTTATCAAGTCGCACCTTTCTAATCATAAACAAAAGGGTTTGGTGGGTTCTTAACTTTCCAGTGAAAGCCCTATTATAATTGGTGTCCTACAAGACACCGTTTTAGGTCCTCTTTTGTTCTTGCTTTACATAAATGATATCTCGGCAGCAGTTAAATATTGTCAATCATTTATTTATGCTGATGATCTCAAATGTGTATATTCTTTCAATAAATCTAGGAGCCTTCATTGCCTGGAGCAAATCCATGCTGACTTGTTTGCTCTTTCAGCTTGGAGATCAAAATGGCCAATGCAATTCTCTCCTTCTAAATGTTGCCATATGTGTTCTGGACCTGACAGTCTACCCCAACCAGTGGTCCTTCAAGGCACACCTATGGCTGAATGTACCATCATCAAGGATTTAGGTTTAAGCTACACTAATAATCTTGATCTCTCGCCACACACTGACAGAATTACAGCCAAAGCTGCCCAGAGTTGCGGCTTTATTTCTTACAATTTCTATCTTCCTGAAGTCAAATTAAGGATCTATCGTATGTTTGTACTTTCCATTCTCGAGTATTGCTGTCCATTCCTCGGTCTGATGAATGAGGCTAGTCGTCTAAAAATTGAAAATGTCCAAAGACGTTTTTTCCAAAAAACTTTTAGATGGGGAACATCCCAATATCTCTTACTCAGATTGATGTCTGCTACTTAACCTAAAATTGTTATGGGTTCGAAGACTAGATGCGGGCTTGTGTCTCCTCTTTCGCATTAATAATAGTTCAAAACTTTCTCGGATTTCATCACTTACCCCTAGTAGTCGCTCATACAGTCTTCGCAACTAGTCCTTGATTATGCCTCCGCCAGCTTCCTTCACCTTTAATCACTCTTTTTTTCGCTTCCAGATATACTTTTCTCTGGAATAAACTTCCAGTAAACTGAAATGAACTAAAGATCTTCAGCTTAGGTTAAGGTCAAGCCGCTGGTTTCAAATTTGAAGATAAGTGGAGGATATTATTTTAAGTGGTTCTTCTGTTAGACCTAACGATTTTAGCCCCTGTTTTTTTGTTAAATTTCCTTAAATACAGGCCTCTTCATTCAAAACAGCCTGTTGCCATCTCCTATTTGAGTTCTGCTTGTCTGTGCCTGTTGTTCACCAGTCGCACTCTGCAATTCTCAATTTGTGCATTCGATTTCTCTCTAAGTGTTGTAATTTATTTTTCCGTCGTTTGCTCTAGCTGAAATTCAGTCAACTTGTGTTTTAGAAGTTTTCTTAATCACAACTTGCCTCGAGACAAGATGAGAGCAAAAGTCACTGGTCGACGTAAGCTTTCAGCCTCTGTAAGTAAGCATGGCCTGACTTAACCTAAGTCAGAAGGCTTACCTAAATCTAAGTCAGATGGTATCACTAGTCAGTCGTCACCCGTTGTACTTGGTCGACAGCTTTATCTGTCTGCACTTGACAACTGCAATGACTTTATGCTAAACTTTGGCATTTTGTTGTCATCTCAGATATTCCCTCTGAAGAATGTACGCGTCTCGACTCACTCGTTCACCGGATCGCCAGTGAATTCAATGATAGACAAAAGCGTTCTTACAACTTTCTGTTGAAAAAATGTTCCTCGATCTGCTCGGCCAATGGATGTTGCGACCAATTTCCTGTATTCATGTGGTTTCAATTACAAAATAGCCGATGATAAATGCTTGTCCTCTCGTAGCATAAATCCACCCATCTTAGTCAAATTATTTTCATCAATCGAGGTTGACACAATCTTTGCCCATCGAGATCATGTCACTGCGTACCTAGAAAATGCAAAATTTTTTCTGTCATGATCTTATCCTTATGGAGCGCAGAATCGGGTCTCTCATCTCACGTAAACCCACTGTTTCTCAGTCTAATGCTCACCAACTAGGTCATAATACAAGTGGCCGTGAGGATACAGCGTGTCCTACTCCTGCGACACCTGACTCCCTCCTTCCACTTAATCTAAATTTAAATTTGATTTATTAAAAGCCAGTTTACAGGCATTGTCAAGGGAAGCGAGTAAACACAAATTTGACCATCAGTGAAAAAAAACTCCTGAAGAATAAAAAAATAGTTGATGGTGGTTTTTGTGGTTTGGAGGGTTCAGGAGAAAAAAAACTGCTGGCGGTAGATTTTCGACCGTCAAGAAGAGGGGGAGGCGGTTGCACGGTATCGGAGATCATCGGACGTCAAGTCCTTTCATGAAGTTGGGGATAGTCAAAGTAGAGGCGTTGAGGAACAGCTGGTGAGACCGGCCATGGTGTTCAGAGACCACAAACGCCATCGCTACGGTACAGTCGATCAGTAGATTCAGCACCCAAAATTTGTGGGAGCTTTTCTGAATGCAAAAATCGAGTAATAGTTCTCTTAAATAAAGGATAATTTTGCAGAGTTTTCGCAATCATGGGTAGTTTATTCCAAATAGCAATTGCATTTACAGAAAAGAACCGACGATATTTAACAGTACGTGTCAGAGGCAGAAATCAGAAGACCTCACGGTGACTGTTACGTCGTGGGTGGATATGATGTCTTAAAGAAGTGATGGGGTTAAATGTGTGATTATATAAGAGTTTAAATAGCAAAAATAGTCCCTTTTGTAATCTACGGAACCATAAAGGATCGAGGCCCGTAAGCCGGCAATGATCTTGGTAAGACAAATGTCGGTTTTCCGGGGTTAAATCTCTCTTGGTAAAAAAGTGTTGAACGGATTATATTTTCTTCCGCTCAGTAGCACGCATGAGGCTAAATGAAAACGAACAGTATTCCAGACCAGGTCTAGCGTACATGTTGAAAAGGCGCATTCTAATGTCCCTAGTTTTAAAGTTTCGGAGGATAAACCCGGTCGTTCTGCGTGCTTTGGAGACTATCAAGGCACAGTGCTCCGAGAGATTGAGACTCTTGGAGTATGATATGCCCAGATCCTTTATAACCCTGGGCACATTTATGGAGTGACCTTCAGTATTTAGTTGAGGTTGGTGGTCGTCGCCAACCACCATGACTGAGCACTTATGCCAGGAAAGAGAAAGGCGCCATGTGCGGCACCACTGGGCGAAAGCCTGTGGATCGCTCTTAAGGAGCTCAAGCACTATGTCACGATCTACCGGCTTATATCGATATACAATTTTAAGATCATCGGCATACACGAAAGGCTTACCATTCTGAAATAAATCGAGTATATCATTAACGAAAAGACAAAATAAAAGCGGGCCGAGTACACTACCCTGAATGACTCCACTACTCACACGTGTGAGATTGGAGATGGTATTGGAAATCTTAACTCGTTGTGTACGAGTGCCCAGGTAAGGGGATATAAAATTCAAATGTTTGCCACCTATTCCGAAAGAGGACACTTTCAAGAGAAGAACAGCATGGTCATCACGGACAAAAGCCTTAGTAAAAACGAAATATACTGTGTAAAGAGCAAAACCATGGTCCCTAGATTGGAGAACATAGTCAAAGAAAGAGAGTTGACAGGTGTCACAAGATCGAGCTTTGAGGAATCCATGCTGAGCAGCACTCAGTAAGTTATTCGCTGTTAAGTGACACATAATCTTATCCTTGATCAATGTCTCTAAGATCTTCGAAACTGCGGGGAGGGTGTTTATTGGCCGAAAGTCATCAAATGATGTAGATTTGCCGTGCTTAGGAATGGGCATCATGTGTGATTCCTTCCATAAGATAGGATAAGTTTCACTTTCAAGAGCAAGATTAAATATCTTGCATAAGAGGGATGGGAAGTTTGTGTTTGCATCGGCTTTTTAAATGCTTACTGGGACACCCTCAGGGCCTGGACTATATGATTGACGAAAACGCCGAATCGCAACAGTCACATCCCACAGAGTGAAAGTTATAGTTTCTAGAACTGCCCCGGTCAATGACTGGATGGTCGGAAGCGGAGTGGTCGAGTCTTCAATAAACGTTTTGGACAGGAAATCATTGAAGCTATCAGCGGTTAACTGGGCATCAACTATGGGATTTCCGAGATCGTCTCGAAGGATGGGATACTGCGTCTTTCTCTGAGTTCGTATTTTTCTAGAGAAAAGTTTCGAGACACTTAACGAATGGTTTTCAGTAAAGTGGACCTCTTCGGCTAGCTGTTTTTCTTCAGACAATCTCTTAGCTCGATCAAAAATATCACAAATCAAGGGCAGAACAGAAACATCGTTCTGCAGGTGGAAACGACGATAAAGCATGCGCAATCTGCGACGAAAGGGTAAAGGTAGGAAAATCTCATCCCCAACATTAATAATTTTCTTACCGGGGACAAAACGAGAAATATGCGGACCCAAAATTTCGTACAGTTTTGCAGTGCAAACATTTACATCCGAACTAAGGAAGAAATCAGTCCAGTCGTAGGAATTTAGGTGTGTTAATTATTCGGTTGAGCGAGTTGATCGGAAATTGCGAAAAAAGCTATAATTTGGGGACGGCGTTTTGTCAGCCTCGAATTCCAACGTTGAAAAAACTATGTCATGGTCTGAGCCCCCGAGTGGGCCTAGAGATGACACCGACGATGGCATGCAGCCTCTACAGAAAATTAGGTCATGTATGCTTGAGCCTCGGGTGGGAAAATCAACAACGTGATTCCACATCCCAACATCCACAGCCTCAAGAAAGTCTTCGAACCTTCTTGGGCCTGAAGGCGGAGATCAGTGGACTTCGGGAAGATTAAAGTCACCCGCAACCAGTTGATACTTAAAGCTTGAGTCGGCCGCAGCATGAAATGCCTGTGAGAGTAAGCGATCAAAATTTTCATTGGCGTTGGGAGGGCGATAGACGCAGCCAACGAGTAAGGAGAACTTATTTTTAGTGCAACCTGGAGCCAGCAGCTGCCTTCTACTGCGCAAAAATGCGGGAGGTCCAACGGCAAAAATGTAAGTGTTTTCTTAACGTAGTCGCAGCTGCCCCCACCACGGCTATCTTGGCGATCATTTCGAATGCAATTGTAGCCTAGAAGAGAGAGTTCGGAGTTAGCTACTGAGGCTGATGCCCACGTCTCAGTTACTAAAACAATATCTGGACAATGGACGAACACTAGAGTCTGAAGCAAAGGCATCTTATTAAGCAAAGATCTGGCATTTAAAACAAAAAGTTTGAAGGGAAAGGCTGTTTGTTTCTGAGGGAAGTGGGATACATCGTCCAGTTCTGGGCTGCCCACGGAGCAAACGGTCCGGATGCAACCATCCGGTTTTGCAAAAAATTTTGTGACATCGAAACTTCAGACGTGGATAAAAAGGGGTAGGACTTGGGAGAGGGAATGACGTGCAGGTGAACTGGTAACCATTGTTAGCTAACTTATTTTCAGCTGGAAATCCGCGGGGCAGATACTGCAACGTATTCCCACCGGAACGAAACTGAGGATCGGATGAGTTAACTGATTCAGTATAGACATTATCATGAGGAATAAATTGGTAAAACGGCCGCGGAGGAAACAAGTTAGGGGGTAAGGGACGCATTGTTTCCATTGGAGCAAGAATTCTATTAAATGGCAGAAAAATCGGCATATTCGGCCTAAATGCCTCGATATGAGGGCTGCGAGGCAGTTGCGATCCCGCTACGTTTTGCATATGTATACTGAAGTGTTACAGGCAGAGTCCTTGATGACCCTTTTTATGTACAGTGCTTTCGCAGATTCATACTCAAAAATAAAATAAAATTGCAGGCATTTAAAATGTGATTGGGCCACAGGTCAATCGTAATCATAAGGTAGTGCATGGGTGTCTTTGTAAACTAGTGCGTAAGATTGTACATGACAGATTTTACAAAACTGGCTGTGCATAGTCTTGCTGTACAAGCCGATTTCTGTCGAAAACTCGACGAGCAAGTTTTCTTTTAAACGAACAAATTGTGTCAGCCGTCACCATCTCGCTTGGAAGCGAGTTCCACGGTCTGACAAAACACTGGCTGAATGAAAATTTTCGTCGGTCTAAACGCGTGCGCTCATTCCCAACTTTGTATGCATGGCCGCGTAGTTGGTTTGTACGGGCGAACTCAAAGAAGTCCTCTGCCCTTAATGAGCAACCCTGGCCGCGAACAATCCGGAACGTCCAGAGTAGACTGCAGTTTATTTGTCTATAAGAGATAGGGAATAGGCCATGCAAATTCAGCCTCTCCTGATAAGACAAATGCTTTAGACCGTCGACCATCTTTGTCGCTCTGCGTTGCACCTGTTCGAGTAAGTTGATATCCTTCCTCATCCATGGTGAAGCTGCTGGCATTCCATACTCTAGATGAGGTCTTACAAAGACACCAAAGTGTCTTTCGAAAAGTTCGGGAGGAACTATTTTAAATGCACGTCTGTGGCTGAGACGGCAAATGGATTTGCCTTTGACTTAGACACATGTTTAGGCTTACTAGGGGTTGCTGGGGGAGTCGATAGAGGCGTGTTTATACCAGGCGTGATGGTGTGTTTAAAGAGCTCAGCATTAAAAGTAGTCGAATTTCCTACGGAATTGACTATGCCGTGATGTGCTGATGCCGCAAATGGTGTTGTAGAGGACTTATTCAGACTGACAGTAGGTGTCATTATCTTGGTGCCGGTTTTTGCCGATTTTAATTTATTCAGTCTTCGCTGCAGGGGTGTGAGGTCTGGCGAAACGGAGCAGCGCCATTTAGGGCAGAAGTCTCTAGTTATCTCCCTACTCGACAAGATAAAATCGACTTCTATCATGGAGAAAAGGGTAACTAGTATCGGCGCATTACGGCTAAGCGAGCGAATTCGCTTAGCTTGTGCGACACTGAAACTCAAGCCACAACTTTGTAGGAACACATGCGCTCCCTCCATAGCAGATAAGTGGCTCGGAATGTTTCGCAGTACGAAATTATGCTTGCGTTTAATTCGTTCCTCAGTTTCCTAACTTATTACCCCAATAAGTTTAAAACCTTGTACAATTACTTTTTCAGAAGCGCTATTTATGTCGCCAAAAATCAACTGGTCGACTATTTCGCCGGCTGATGGCCTGCTACGACTAGCAGAGGCGTATATTTGGTCGACTGAAGCGTCAAGAGGTTCTACATGTACTAAAGGGATTTGTGAGTTAATCAGATCTGCGGACGGCGAAGAACATACGCTGGCACCTGCTATGTCTTCAGTCACGAATTTAGCACCCAGAGACGGTGGGGAGGCCGCAAGCTTTCGCCGTTTAGCGCGTGCTCTGCGGGGCATTACAGACAGGAAAAGTTTTCGTTACAGAAGAAGGGTCAACACGTTGCCAACGTACGGAAAATCGCTCTTAATAGCAAGTGCTACTGTTATTTAACTACGAAAAATAGAAAGAGATAGTAGGGAAAGGAGTCACTACAAAGGTTTTTTACAATATGCGACTATTTTGCCAGACTGTCAAATAAAACTGAGAAAAATTATATCTTGTATTGAAAGGCGACTTTTAAAAGAGGCTCAAGCAAAAAACAGGCATTAGTTGCTTAAGAATATCCAGATAAATGCAGAGCTTCACTTATCTTTGAAATTCAGCTGCGCGCATATATTTCCATCTCAGTCAAGCCAATTGACGCATTTGCCTGCCCCTAAACTTGCAGCAGCAGCAGCAGCAGCAGCAGCAGCAGCAGCAGCAGCAGCAGCAGCAGCAGCAGCAGCAGCAGCAGCAGCAGCAGCAGCAGCAGCAGCAGCAGCAGCAGCAGCAGCATCAGCAGCAGCCCCATTTGTCGTTTCGTATCATCTGGACACATAAAAATCCATCTACATCAGCTAGAACGGTAATTTCACCTGTCCAGCTGGGTGCTGCAAGCTCTACAGTTAAGTCACCCGTCGCTTGGCGTCAGAACAGTGAGACTCAAAAATTGAATCAGACCCCGACCCAAAAGATAGGTAGTACAGTTCCATTTAGTGGTACGACGCCTTCTCTTAGATCTAACATGTCTGTTCAGCCCAGCACGTCTACAAACCCCGCAGCTCCAATTATATCCTCGAATAATTCTCTGTCCTGCGTACTGGTTACTTATCAAAGTCCCACTATATATCCAGCAAATAATTCATACATGAATTGCCCTAAGTCATTTATGCCCCAACCTAGTTCAGGCATCCCACCACTTAAGGCCAATTGCTCTCAGGTACGTCAACCTACCTCCTTTGACTACCAACCTAGACCTGGTTTCCCACCCTTTTATTCTTATAGCTGCCTACCCTCACCCAATAGCCCCTACTTTCCTTCTAGGCTACCTCCACCTCCCCTTCCTCCACAATTCAACTACCAACAAGTCTATCCATGTTCTAACTCCCCTAGCAGTTCAATGTTTAAAAACTTTATCCCCACATCCTTTAGGTCTCATACTCAGCCTTGTCTTGCTGACTCCCCGTACGTCAATAACTCTAGACTAACTGGTACTTATTCTCCAAGTGTCATTAATTCACACCTTACACATCCGCCTTCAAATTTTTTAAATACCGCCGAAAATGGCATTGCCGTTCGAAACAAATTAGACATTATATTATTGAATGCCAGGTCAGTTATAAAGAAGATGGCCCAAATCAGAGCCATTGCTCTCGAAATGACGCCTGATATTATATGTGTAACAGAATCTTGGACCCATACTCCAATTCCTGACTCTGCCCTTCTCATAGATTAATTCGATTTTTACCGTCAAAACCGCAATATTAGGCGTAGGGACGGTTGTATTCTTAATCTGAAATCCTACCTAAAGCACTCCCCTTATTATTTGAATGTTTCCTCATTCACGGGAAACTTCTGCTTTGCATCTGTTATTCTCTCGTCGGAAAGAAACGCGATTATTGGCTGTATCTACAATCCCTCAAATTCTTTAGCCAGTGATGATTCAAAACTCTGTGAAATCTTTAAATTAATTTCGAGAGCTGCTTTCGATGTTAAAATAATCACTGGGGATTTTAACCTTCCTGAAATAGATGGGGTTTCCAACAGCTGTCCACCTAGATTCCCGCCCGTTCAAGATATTGTCCATTTTTCTAACTGGTCCCAACTGGTGTGCTCTCGAACAACAGATAATCACATTTTAGATCTAATCATAACCAATAACATTGCTCACCTTTTTGTTGATTTAAAAAAACCTCTTTGACAGTGACCGCATATTAATTCATTATTGCTTACCGCTTGCCATTTCAAAAAAGACCAGCGCGAGTTAACTGAGGGTTTGGGGTGTAAGTTTTCTAAGCGCATCCGTTCGACATTCGACTTTCCAAGGTTTGGGGTTATCTTTAGCCAGGAAGGTAACGGTGTAGGCAGCAATGAAGACATGTTCGTTAGGCTGCGTCGCATATGTTATGTAGGCAAAACAGGAGGCTAATAGGAAATCGGATGTAATCTGAGTATGATAGACAGCAGAAGTGAGGAGCCTTGTGGAAACGGCCGCAGATATGACAAGGGGAATGTCGTAGGCTCATGGGTGGCCAATTAGCAGAAAGAAGATGTGAACAGGGGTCAGGACCTTGATCGTTCGCTTATCAGGCGTTTATGGAATGATGCCCTGACTACCCGGGCAAAATACCCTGCACATGGGTGCATTGAAGTCTCTGGTTATCAGAACCTCTTGGTTCTGTGACACCTCCTTAATTAACCGAAACATCGCATCGCCAAACTCAGGAGTTTGATTGGACGGCCTGAATACGGTCAGGAAATTCAAATTAAGTGCGCCACGCATCCTCAGTTTTAACCACATTGCTTCACAGTCGCGAGAGCAATCAGTTTTGTGTTCCGACGCGATGATTCCTCTCTTGACGTAGACCGCTATTCCCCCTCCTTTTTATGCAGTCTGTCCAAGCGAAAAAGTGGTATCCATCGAGTGTAATTTCGGCATCCAAGACTTCGGTCTGGAACCAAGTCTCTGTGATACAAATAACATCCCGCTGAGTATCTGATATCCACACTTACAGCTCATCTAGCTTCTGGAACAAACTCTGAGCATTTGCATGAAGAAAGCGGAGCTTAACCCGGGCAGATTCCCGAACGATTTTTAGGTCAAAGTTGCTGGATATTTCGTGCGAGTTTTCGAGTTCATTGTTCCCTTCCGAGTCTACTGCTGTTTGATAGAACTGGATGTCAGTGTGTTGGCCGTCGTTTTCTCTGATGATTTTGTCAGATAGGAGCGTTCTCTGCTTAATATCTGGTTGTTCATTACGCTCAGTGTTATTGGTTGTCTCCAGAGAAATGAGTTCCGAACATTTATGAATTTCCCATTCAATATTCTTAGGTTTTTCTCGCCAGAATTGTATCTTCTGTGGAGTTCGACCTTGGGTTCCCTCCATTTCTCCCGTTCGGCCGGTGAGAAATCCCGCTGAAAAAAAGTTGTTGGGTGAGCATCTCGCAGTGCTGGTTTCCTGTTCAGCAGTAATATAACTTGTTCCTTACTTTCGAGAATAATTTTTAGTGGTCTATGATGGCCCGACTCGTCCTTCAAAACCTTAACTGGTCCTATTCTGAAAGCTTTCAAGACGGTAATATTCTCCTTCTGTTGTAATAGGAATTTTAGATATTGTTGGAATAATTCTATATCGTAGTTTATTCTGTTCTTTGGGATGTCTGAAGAAGACTCAGGCATACCCTGTACGATGCTGCACTTATAGGGCGCTGTCGTTTATTTGTATACGCACAGTCGACAGCGCGAAAATTTTTGTTGTCATCACTGTCCAATTCAGAGACAGTTTCATGGTGCAGCTACCGCAGGGTTCCTCGTCTATCGAGGCTTCTTGGTCGTGTGGTATCTCTTTTGGCAGTGAGACATTTGCTTGCATTCTGTGTGGACTCTGCTGTCTCCTGCTGACGCTCTGACCTACTTGGTCTTTTCGGAATGCTTTGAGACGTCTCCTGGTTTTTTGAGATGCGCTTCGGTTACTTTCTCTGGTACATGAGACAGGTTCTCGATTGTGATTGGGTCCGTAGACGGGCTGTTTTCTTTTTCAAGTGCTAATACAGTTACTGAAATCGTACTGGCAATCTTTCAGGTCATCTCCTGAATTTCCGACATCGAACTCCTCAGAAGATACAATTCTGGCGAGAAAAACCTAAGAATATTGAATGGGAAATTCATAAATGTTCGGAACTCATTTCTCTGGAGACAACCAATAACACTGAGCGTAATGAACAACCAGATATTAAGCAGAGAACGCTCCTATCTGACAAAATCATCAGAGAAAACGACGGCCAACACACTGACATCCAGTTCTATCAAACAGCAGTAGACTCGGAAGGGAACAATGAACTCGAAAACTCGCACGAAATATCCAGCAACTTTGACCTAAAAATCGTTCGGGAATCTGCCCGGGTTAAGCTCCGCTTTCTTCATGCAAATGCTCAGAGTTTGTTCCAGAAGCTAGATGAGCTGTAAGTGTGGATATCAGATACTCAGCGGGATGTTATTTGTATCACAGAGACTTGGTTCCAGACCGAAGTCTTGGATGCCGAAATTACACTCGATGGATACCACTTTTTCGCTTGGACAGACTGCATAAAAAGGAGGGGGAATAGCGGTCTACGTCAAGAGAGGAATCATCGCGTCGGAACACAAAACTGATTGCTCTCGCGACTGTGAAGCAATGTGGTTAAAACTGAGGATGCGTGGCGCACTTAATTTGAATTTCCTGACCGTATACAGGCCGTCCAATCAAACTCCTGAGTTTGGCGATGCGATGTTTCGGTTAATTAAGGAGGTGTCACAGAACCAAGAGGTTTTGATAACCAGATAGTACAACGCACCTATAGTCGACTGGAACAATCTATTAGTAAATGCTTCGCGAAATTACTTTATTCCATCCTCTTGAATCTCACGGCTAATCTCTTTATGGTACAAAACGTCACGTTCATAACCAGGATCAGAGAGGTCCATAGAGCAAATTATCCTTACAAAATACCGAATTAGCCCTGGCGAACTTAGGTCCATATCACCGCTCATTAAGAATGACCATGTCATGCTGTTTTGGGAATACCGCCTATGTAGCGAACAAGTGAATACGACTGAGCCTCGGTTGAATTTCCGACGAGGAGATTTTGTCGCCATGAGAAGGGCATTATCTGCAGTGGGCTGGAATAATGTTCCTTCTGGATATACAGACGTTGATTGGAACACTCTCAAAGGAGTTGTAACAGACATCACGAATCTATACTGTCCGATAAAGAGAGTAAAAAAGAATATTTGTCCTGCCTGGATAACGCGGGATATAAAGAAAGAAGAAAACCGAAATAAAAAACCTTGGAGAAGGTGCGCAACAACAAAACAACCATCCCGTTACGAGCTATTTCGTCAAAAGCGAAACGAGGTAATTTCGGCTATCCGCAAATCGCGGAAGGAGTATGAAATGCGAGTTATGAAACGGGTCGTCGGTAAACCAAACGTGCTCTTCAGTTACATCAACAGTAGGTTAAAGGACAAGGAGACCGTCTTCGTACTGAAAGGAGAAGACGATGAGGATATCATCGAAAATGACGCTAATGCAGAACATCTAAGCCGGTTTTTCGTATCTGTTTTCACCGACGAAACGGACTTTGATGATGCTGGATTGCCCGCTGGGGCAACCGATGAAATAATAGAAAAGATCGACTTCACGGAAGAAGACGTGAGGAAGGAACTTCCAGCGCTTAAGGAGGGTAAGTCTCCGGGTCCAGACCAAATTCCGGCAAAAGATCTGAAGGAGTTGGCTTTCGAACTCGCCAGACCGCTTTCGCACATCTTCAGGTCGTCCTTTGACCGAGGCATTCTCCCCTCTGATTGGAAAGTTGCGAAAATATACCTCATTTACAAGAGTGGATCCAGAACATGTACAAACAATTATCGGCCGATGAGCCTGACCTGCATTTTTTGCAAAGATATGGCGAGAATAGTCAAAGAACCCATAATGAAGTTCCTTGAAGAAAATAATTTCATTGCCAGTTCCCAACATGGCTTTCGGCGAAATCACTCCTGCCTTACTAATATGCTCTATTCAACGGAACAGTGGTTTGGCTCGATAGACGAAGGAACAAGGACCGATATCGTCTACATAGATTTCAAGAAAGCCTTTGATAGTGTTCCACAGCACCGGTTACTGAACAAGGTTTGAGAGTCAGGGATAAGGGGAAACGTATTAAACTGGGTAAAGGACTTTCCGACTGGTCGATCACAGTCTGTGTGTATCGGTAGTGCGAATTCAACGTCAGTGCCAATTGTGAGTGGAGTTTCCCAGGGCTCTTTACTTGGACCAGTACCATTTTTAATTTATGTAAACGACTGTATGAATGGACTGGACTGCAATGGAGTCATGTTTGCCGATGACATCAAGTTATGGTGAGCGATCAACGGGGAACATGATGAACGGGTCCTTCAAGAAGGAACGAACTGCCTATGCGAATGGTCTGATAAATGGCTGCAGAAATTTAACCTTGAGAAGTGCGTCGCGCTGCGACTCAAAACGACTGGAAGAGCCGACGGAGAGGATCATCATTACCTGCTTGGTGGAAGGTGCCTTTCACATGTAACCGAACAAAAAGATCTTGGGATCAACATTTTGTCGACTCTTAAGTCTTCCACTCAGTGCGTTAGGACGGCCAAAAGGGCGCCCAGTGTTCTCTTTGCCATTAAACGAACTTTCATAGACATAGACAAAGTTATTTGGAAAAGTATACGGAGCGTTCATTCGTTCGCACCTGGAATATGGGATCCAAACGTGGCCCCCGTGGCTAAAAAAAACTATAAGTTGCTAGAAAGAGTTCAGAGAAGAGCGACCAAAATTGAGAAAGGCCTCAGGACTTTACGTTACAACTGCCGACTTAGTGAACTTAAACTCTTTCCTCTTGAGTACAGGCAGGTTCGAGGAGATCAGATAGAGGCGCATCAGATCTTGAGGAACTGGTACTGTGCCCTAAACCTCCATGATTTCTTCACCCTGGCTAGAACAACAAACTTGCATGGGGACTATCTAAAACTTCGAGGATCCCCATGCCGCCTGGACGTTCGCAAATACGGTTTTTCACAGCGAGTCGTCGGTGCCTGGAACGGGCTTCCCGAGGACGTAATAATGGCAGATACCACGGAGACGTTCAAGCAATAACTAGCTGTAAATTTGCTTGGACAATGCCGCTTGTCTGGACAGAACAGCTCTGTCGTGCCAAACCAACGCCTTGCATACACCTACCACTAATGCGGATGTCTGTCATATCATTTAACCGATATCATCTACAACTGAATGTTCTCGAGTTTCGGTCCTGCATTTTCAATGAAAACTATTCTGTTAAGTGTATATATTACCGACAACATTTTAGTACCGTGCTTATTTAAAGTTAGATATTGCATGTACCGTTCAGAATAGGGGTTTCAAAGGCATTGCCTATTACCCTCAAAATATACTGACCTACCCATGAGACTCGGAAAAGCTGAATCCTTCGGAGGTCGAAAATCTCAAACCGAATTCAAAAGACGCTGACCTAATAGGGAAAAAAGTAAAACGCTAATTTAATGAGCGTCAATATAGTTGTCAATATAGTAGTCAATATATATTGTTCCTTATCTACGTGGACGATGCCGCAAGAGCTTTAGGCTGCGAAGTAGCAATGTTTACTGACGACATGAAGATATGGGGTGTGATTCGGGCTCCTGCCGACGAAGGCAGACAGCAGATGAACCTGAATCGTTTGGAGGAGTGGTCAAACCGTTGGCTCCTGCGGTTCAAAGTTGCCAAATGTAGCATACTTCGCTTAGGCAACACAGCCAGGTCCACCAGCACAAGAAACTACTTTCTGGGCGGTGCAGCCTCAAAAGAGGTCGAAGCCCAAAAAGACCTCGGTGTGCTGACGACCAGTTCCCTAAAGCCATCCGCCCACTGTTCGAGAGTGGCAAAAACCGCAATGTCCGTACTGTACTCCATCAAGCGTGCGTTTATGGACTTTGACGAATATGCTTTCTCTAAGACATTCGTAACCTTCGTCCGGCCACCTTTAGAGTACGGCATACAAGCTTGGAGGCCGTGGGCTGTTGAGGATCAAAACTGCCTCGAAAGGGTCCAGAGGAGAGCCACGAAGATGGTTAGGGGTCAAAGCACCTCTCCTTATGCAAGTCGCCTAGTAAATATGAACGTCTTTCCTTTGAGTTACAGGCAACTTCTCGAGCATATCTTGCAAGCCTTCCGCATTGTTAAGGGGTTGGATTTCAGTCTGGCCTTCGAGGGCTTCTTTGAATTTGCTACCACGACCAACCTCCGAGGTCACCCGTTAAAACTGCGTACTCATCATGCAAGGTTGGATGTACGCAAGTTCTCCTTCTCTGTTCGAGTGGTCAAACCATGGAATGCCCTTCCCGCAGATGTTGTGATGCCACCATCTATACAAAGTTTTAGGAAGAATCTTGACATATTTATGTTCCAAAATGACCAGGAGCGATGAGAAGTAGAGATCACCCCCTGTAACCCGTTCTCATGTTGTTCTACAATTATGGGCGTGTTTGAATTATTTCAGCCGAGAACATTTATCTGTATACCACACATTTTTTTGCTTTGCAAATAGGGTACTCAAAGGCTTACGCCTATTTCCCTCAATAAACTGAACTGGACTGAACTAAAACTGGTAGATTCTGTTTCACCAACCTGCTCATATCTATGGGGACCTCTAAGAAATCCACTAAAAAGGGTTTATTAGTAGAAGCAGTCTATAATGACTTCGCAAAAGAGCTACTTAATCTGCCTTACGATCAACAGTAGAATGTAATTTTCCATGAAGCTCAGAAGAACATCCACTAATAACCCGTGATTGTCAGCAATATTACACCCAAACATTGCGTTCCGATCTAGATCGTGTATGTCCGCCTTCACCGGACTTAATTTAACTCGTCACGCGTCACACCATTTAAGTACGTGCAGGACTGTAAATAAGGAATGCTCCAACCTAAGCACTACATAGTCACCCCGGCCGAACGAAGCATAGAGATGGCTTTGCTGACACCACTAGGCGTTTTTGCCATAACTATTCCTTGTGCTCTTTTTGGCGCACTTACTCGAATCATAATGACATTTGCTCAACATTTGATCTGTAACGATTCAGATTATTGCAAAAAACAAAAAGACTATAAAACGCCCTTATTATTTGGACATTTCAGCATTTTTGCCTCCGTCAGACAGGTTGGTGCTGTCTTGTACTTTTAAATAACCACCTGTCGGCCTTGAACCGAACTGACATCATTGTGTTGCGATGGTAGTTCAAGTAATTTATTTAAAATGGAGGACGACGATGACGGGTCCGATATCTTGGAAAAAATACTTGGTAAAGCACAACCTTTTTGGTTTATACACATAAAAGCTTTGCTTGTCCTTTTTGGCTGGAAATATTTGCTTCTCGAGCTAGCCACCTATCTTCGTTTTATTAATTACAATCATGACTGAAATTGCCGTCGCAATTAATCTGCGTTTACATGGGTCGCATCCTGGCGGTCCATAGCTATTAAGCAACACATTTGTAATTTAGTGAAAGATTTTGCTGCTGGAGCGCCGGCAAAATATTTTCTCAGTAGCTGCAAAATAAAACTCACGATTTCGAGAAAGTTGGGTGATCGTGAATATTAATATTCGTTGTTCCATTTACGTGTCAAAATGTCGTCGGCAATAATATGACCAACTGTTTTGCTTTGTAACCGCCTTCGCGAGACCGTTATGTGGCACGTTGCAGTCGGCGTACACGGCGATCGCCGTGTATACATACATCAAACAATCGATTGTTTGATGTATGTATACTTATATATATATATATATATATATATATATATATATATCGAATGATAGAGAATACGCGCGGCCCAGGTAATTGTATAGAAGAAGACGGAAAGGCGATCGCTGGGACCAGTGGTTTATTTGTCCGACGTTTCGAACTCTCACGCGAGCCCATCGTCAAGGAATGAAAATACTGTAC